CAGGGAGGGGCTGCAGGTCAGGAGTGAGGGGCACCGGCACAGTTGGGGGCACGGAGGGGACTGCAGGTCAGGAGTGAGGGGCACCGGCACAGTTGGGGGGCACGGAGGGGACTGCGGGTCGGGGGGGGGGGGGGGGGGGGGGGGGGGGGGGAGTGAGGGGCACCGGCACAGTTGGGGGGCACGGAGGGGGCTGCGGGTCGGGAGTGAGGGGCACCGGCACAGTTGGGGGGCACAGAGGGGGCTGCGAGTCGGGAGTGAGGGGCACCGGCACAGTTGGGGGGCACGGAGGGGGCTGCGGGTTGGGAGTGAGGGGCGTTACCTTGAAGGTGAAGGTCTCGTTGAACGTGGGGTTCAGGGTTTTCCGATGCACTTTGGTCTCGTGTTTTTTCTTCTTCTCAGGGAGCAGGAAGACTTTGACGTAGGGGTCGGACGTGCCCCCGATGTCCAGCGCCGGCAGGTCGGCTGCCTGGATGATGCCCACCACCAGCTGGGACAGGGTGAAAGGGAAAAGTCCTGGTGTGACACAGGGTGTCGGCCATGCTGTGAGCTTCCCCCACAGCAGTGCCCCAGCCGGGCGACGCAGGACTCCTGGGTTCTCTCCCCAGCTCTGGGAGGGGAGTGGGGTCTAGTGGTTACAGCAGGGGGGGCTGGGAACCAGAAGTCCTATGTTCCCTTCCCAGCTCTGGGAGGGGAGAGGTTTTTTACTAGGTTGGAATTGGGAGGGATGTGAGCCCGGACACCTGGGTCCCTTGGCAGGCCCCGCGGGTACCCCCACCTGCCCGTTCTGGAAGTCGTAGTCAAGCGAGTACTGCAGCTTCCCCAGCTTCTCCTGGGGCTTCTCGTCCTTAGGCTCGGGCAGCAGCGCCGGGTCCAGGTCCTCAATGTCGGGCTGCACCTGGGGCGGGGGAGTGGGGGGAGAGAGAGAGAGAGACACCCTGCGTACAGCTACCAACACAGTTACACATGCAGAGCCCGGCCCCTCCAGGAGGGGGCGCCAGGGACACACACAGCACAGTGCCCGGCCCCTCCAGCAGGGGGCGCCAGGGACGCACACCCAGCGCGGGGCCTGGCCCCTCCAGCAGGGGGCGCCAGGGAC